CACCCTCTATCTGTGTTGCATGCCTGTTCAGCTGGGCAGTATGTTCTATTTTCAGTCCCAGAGAGCTATGCACTGTGCTGTGTGTGTGTGTGTGTGTGTGTGTGTGTGTGTGTGTGTGTGTGTGTGTGTGTGTGTATGCGCACGTCTGTGTATTTACAGTACATGTTCTGCTTCACTACCATCAGGCTCATTACACAAAACCCTTCAATTCACTTCTTCTTTGCAAACAAGCCCAGCGCTGTGATGAAGCGAACCTTGCCCTTTTACAGCCCGTACAGAACAGTGAGTAATGTGACAATGATGTGACTGCATGTGAAAATACTGGGAGATGAAGAAATAATGTATACAAAAGCCCCTGTGAAAGACCACAGCTGTAGAAAGGAAGAGGAGTCAGCTTGTAAGGAGATTTGAGAGGATGGGAATCCCTCGTCGTGCTGCACATGTTGTCATCTGACAGTACACCGAAGCTCTCACCAGAAGTAAGAAAAAAAATATAGAAAATGCCACTCTAACAAGCCTCCTGGGAGCCCCACTGCCTGGCTTTCTAAAGAGGGAACAGCTTGTCTGATCTAAAATGCTTTAAAAGACTCGAACAGAAACAGCCTGCTGTGCTCCACGTACATATTCTGTCCATACGGCCCATAGTAACGGCTTTGTGTATTTGTTTGGCCATGTGAAACCATCGGCCCGTGCGGTTTAGATTACATAAGAAACATGGCAACAGGTAGGAACTGGAACAGGTACAATAACTAACTAACAAAGTAAAATGACAGACGTCGGGATTCCCCAGTGTGTTTGCGTAACCTTAGTTCCTTCCGCTACATTCTTTTCAGTAATGCTTGACTTCACACTCAGATGGCTACACAACCTGTATTATATTTATGACATACTTAGAAAATGTTTTATATATTATATTTTATTGACAGAGTACGGACCTTTTACACTGTTCAAATGAGGCTAACACCTGCTACCATCAAGCTTTTCTTAGTCAATGTGAAAGGGAACAAACAGCATTCAGTCCCGGGTCAAATGACTCTGCAGTAGTGGTGGCTCCTGCTCCGATCAGCAGCGATGTAAACGTGACACCTGAATGAACGCGCCAATTTTCATCCCTTATCCGTGTTGTGACGTCTTTCTGAGACACAGACACTGTCACCTGCCCAGCACGGCGCTGTTACACCAGACACACCATGGCTACGCCTTCTGCTGAGAGTGTGCTGCACTCGGGGCTGTGCTCAATAGGTTTTCAAAACGCACAATCACTCACCGAAGCGTCTCACACGGAGACTCAGACACTTACAGGAGCACCAACATGCGATAGATCCATTATACCAGTCTGCACAGCAGCTGGCGGCTCACTGTTTGAATCTGTGTCTATGGGTGGAAAATCTGCTTATGCGCTCTAATTTTGGTGTAAAAAGGGTATCGGAGGGGGCGTTCAGGCAAGTCTGATAAGGGAGTAGAGGCTTTCATGATGTCTATAGGAACAGGGTCCAAATTAGTTTTATTCTAATTGGGTCAGGTACAGTCTCACTGTATTGTTGTAGGTCTGAGGTCTTTATGTCAAAATATGTGTAATACCCAAAAGATAAAGGACTCAGCTCTGATCACATGATGCAACTTAATTATCACGAGAAAAAAAAGTGGGTTTTTGATGTTAGAAGGATCAATGTGAATAATGAGTGAGTTTGTCGTTTCTCTGGTTTGTTTGGATCGTTCTGTCTGTCCTTGGGTCAGTTTCAGAGGGGGTATCTTTTTAAGAAAAAATAAGTAACTAAAAAGTCATTTATACTTGTTGTGCTTGGGTAACTTTTCCACAGGCCCAAATATCATCAAGTCCAAAATTTTCGACCTGAGAGGACTCTTAATCCACAGGTGTGCATCAGCCAACTTTTGGAAATTTCTGAAACTAACAAGCTGACAGCCACCTAGGGCTTTGACAGTATAGATTTTTGTCTTACCACGGTGAAAAAGCAATGTATCCCCATGGTTCGGCAGTTTATCACCAGTGACGCATGAATTGGCCAGGTCTGCAAAGGTGTGAAAGTTATAAGAGATTGTTTTCATTGTGGATTCATTTCCAGATCATTTTCTACATCACCTGTTTGGTCGATAAAATATCAGAAAAAGTGAGAAATGCCCATCGCAATTAGGGATGTAACAGAAATTTGGTACCAATATCACTGAAATTCCACAATTCTTGATACCAAATTCAATACCACAGCAAAAACACACACCCGCCCCTCCATATAGTCAGTGTGTAAAGCAGTAGTTGAAACTGACTAACGTGGTGACAGATCAGTTGCGTGAAAATATTCAGTCAGCATTATATATATATTTTGACAGTAAAGACTTTATGAGCTGCTGCTGTGTTAGCCTCAACCAGATAACGTTTGCCTTTGTGAGCGGTGTGTGTGTGTGTGTGTGTGTGTGTGTGTGTGTGTGTGTGTGTGTGTGTGAGGAGCGTTGCTACAACAACTCCTGGCTGCCGCAATTCGCAAACAATAACAGTAACATTTCAGCATTTCAACATTTTGACGACATGTTGCTCTCACCCACTCACCCTGGTGGGGTGGTCATGCAACATGAATTGGATGTTATCCACTATTCTTTCTCATCACAAGATAAAGAAGAATGCTGATGGCCTTTTGCATCCTTGTTGCTTTTTATATGTGGTTTCTATTCTGTTGTCAGTTGCTGTCAGCTCCTTAATAATTCAGGACTTGAGTTTTGTAATACTTTCCATGCTGCCTCCGCACAGAGGATGTTTAAGTCTCTCTGCACATAAATGCAGCTAAAGCCCACAATGTCCTTGCGGTCATTTTCAAAGGCAGATTCTGGTACTGCAGTTGACAATGATCCATGTCTTAAATATGGGAAGTGCAGGTCTTATGGTTTTGGGGAGTGAATACATTTTCCAAAGCATTTAACACCCTACTTGCTATGAAATCTGTGCAGACAACACTAGCTCTGCTGTCTTCCATTTCAGCCATCCTTAAATGTAGACACACCTTCCATCATTAGCTGTGTTTTCCGCCCATCCTGACTTCCTCTATCACGTGTCTGACACTGATAAGAGCTCCAAAAACAATGCAGAGGCCATGCTTCAGTTTAGTAGAATAAATTACCATAAACATCACCTCTAACTAATGCAAGGACATTTATGTATAATTTCCTCTGGTGCTATTAAAGGAATAAATCTGCCAAACAGAAACAATTGAGCATGGCTAAGCAAAATGTGCCACCGCCTCATTAATCTCACTTAACATCAGAGGACAGGTGGCTATGACGGAGCTTCAAACGGTAACCACACAGTGGTACTCAAGTAGAGGAAGATGAATTCATGAAGTCCCACGATGCTTCATTTACAAGCAAAGTGCTCCTCAGCAGTTCTGCAATCAGAACTCTCTACACTGTGCTGAAGGAGCAACTTCTGTGTAATTCATTAAAGATTTGGTATAAACAACATTTTTTCTAACTGTGCTTTTAGTGCACTAGTAGCATTTTTCTTTACTACCAAGCATAGTTATATAATTAAACCTCCACTGGCTATTAGGCAATGTTTTAATCTCAGTTCTCAAGAGGATAAACTGATAAATTAGACTGATTTTAGTTAAAATAAAACTTTCTTAAGAGAAATATACTTGCTGATATGATACATCGGTGAGCATTATGTGTTCTCAAAGTGTAAGATGTCTGCATTACTAGAGCTGCAACCAACCATGATACTGTATTTTATGCATCTGTAATTTTGAGAGAAAAAAACAAAAAACAGGACATATTCTGGAAATAACTACATAAATCTGAACTCAACAAACATTCAATTTAAACCCAAGTAAGGGTTATTATTTATTTATTATTGGAAACTTTATTGTCCATATGTTGATTTGTATGTAAGTTCAGCTGACCTGCTGAGGACTAGCGGTTCTCTCTTCTTCACTATAATTAATGCCAACCATGTTCTTTCCAGGAAATTATGAAATTATTTATAAATTAAGGACCCACAAAATAAAGCCCTGCTCAACTAACTATTATTTTTATTATGAACCTGTTGATTATTTTCTTGATTAATCATTTAATTGTATAAAATGTTAGAAAATAAACAAAACAAAACACAACATCCCAGCCAAAGAAGATGACAAATAAAAGTATAGCATGTTGTAATACTTGAGAAGCTGGAACCAGATAATTTCTGGTATTATAATGTTTGATGATCAGTTAATTATTTACATTTTTCCAAATAGTTGCCGATTACTTTCTTATCAATCGACTGATCAGTTACTCAAATAATTGTTTCAGCTCATTAAATGATGATACCTTAATATAGCCACTTTACTGAAATATATAAATACAATGTGTATAGCTGCACTGATTAATAGTATAATAATTTTTAAGATAATTTTTTCAATCAATCAATGCCTAATTGTTTGGTACATAAAATGTCAAAGGAAATGAGTTAAAATCAAGGAGTATAAAACACATAGATATTCAGTTTACGATCATATATGACAAAGAAAAGCTGCAAATATTCACTTTTGAGAAGCTGAAACCACCTGTTACATAAAATGACTCAAACAAGATCTTGTTACAAATGTTACTCTGATAAAGGACTAAAGGGATTAATCATTATCAAAATAGTCAATATAACAATCTATATCATAATGATCAATATTGATTTTTCTGTTGATTGATTAATCGTTTCAGCTCTGTGTTACAAACAATGACAGCAAAGTTTTCTCTCATCAAATGTAGAGAAACTGTATCCACTAAAGGAATTTCTACAAGTGTGGAACAGCTTTTAGCCTCAGTGTTGCCAGAGTGCCAATTCCAATTAAAATTCATGTCCAAGTCATTCTATTATGTAAACCAAAGGACAGATTTCAGGAGGCATCATGGGCGCTCGCTGCCAGACAAGCTGTCCCCACAGTGGGGTGGAACTTCCAGAAATCCAAATCAAATAACTTAATCTTTCCTCTCCTTGGTTGTCTTGTTCCCATCAGGAGTCTTGACTCCCAGCAGCAGCAGCCATGTGAGAGGAGCCATCAGCAAGCAGAGGATGCCCACACCCAGCTAAAGCCAAGAAGCCCCCCTCCCCCTCCCTTCCTCCCTCCCTCCTTCCCTCCCTCCCTCCCTCCTGTGCCCTTCCTTCTTCCCACATGAGGACGAGAAGATGACTATCACCAGCCGGCAGTCCTTCAATGTCCTGACGGTCATTTTCCTCCTGCTGTCCACTGCAGGTCTGTAAAGTTTCTTATCAGTCTGAATCTGCCTGTCTGGCCCTCAAAACTTAATATTTTTTTCATTACAGGAGCTTCCAATCGCTCATATAAGAGACTCAGGGTGTGCTCATATTAGTCATGCTAGGAGAAGTTTCTACAAACTCAGGTTACCTCGAAATGTGGGTGTCAGTCCTTTCTAGAGGGAGCCAGCAGTTAACTAATGAACTAAATGCAGGAAACGAACCCAAAAGACACATATTTATGTTTCGAGGGGAGATAGATGTTGACATCTGATGTCCAGACGTTAAGTCAGAGACACTTAAAATCAAGTGACTTGGAAATATTTATTGCCAAAAAGAAAAAGTGTACTTGGCAGGAAAAGCTCTGAAACCTGGGGGGGGGGGGCTTGTAAATGAGGCCTTGCAGCATAGAACTGTAAAGACAGCACACTTATAACCCCAAAAGCTATAAACAAAACAACCCAGCCAACAGAAAGAGTATCTCTGAGATATGAAGTATATATTATCCACATGGGAAAAGATGCCGAGTCAAGTTTGAAAATGACAAAATAGGGCAAGAGGAAGATGGAGTGTTAGTGGGAGAAAACAGCTGCCAGGAGCATGTGACAGGTTGGATCAAACAGTAAAGCCATAATAACCAGAGGAGTGAGAGTGCGAATGATGTTAATGACCACCTCATTAAAGAGCAACTTAACACCGTGTTATAGCGTGAAAAGTCCTCCTTCCCATACACAAAAATATGCATTCAAACCCAGACGGCCTCGATCTCTTTTCAAATAACAACTCCAAATGACTCTTATGCAACTATGGGTCTGTGAATTCTGGGTGACAGCCAGAGATGAGATGTAATACCTGGATTTCTACCATCTTTGGTGGTAAGGAACAATGAAATATAACTCTCCAAAATGCACAGAGTTGATTTCTGACTTGACTTGTACTTTGGGGGTATTGAGTGCAAAGCTACATTACAGATTTTTCACAGATTAGTTTTGGTCTAGAGGACAGAATTAGTCTCTGGGAAATAACAAAAAGCTGCTGTTGCAATATTTACTATAGACCAGAATCAGTTTTAAGTGTAATGAAGGGACTCTACATCTAACCACACTCACACAAATGTGATTTATCATTATAGAAAAATGAATTAATTAATGATAAATCATTAAGTATTCAAATATTCTTAAAATAGTTATAAATTTGTTGTTGTATATTCAATCAGGTGATATAGATAGTGGCTACTAACAATGGTTTAATATCAATCATTAATCTTAAAATCTAATCTTATAATTACATAATGAAATGTTCAACAATAGTGAAAATAAATATCGAAAATTCCCAGAGAGCAAAGTGACATCCTAAAATTGTTTGTTTTGTCCAACCAATAGTCCAAAACCCAAACATATTAAATTTATGATGATAAAAACCAGAGAAAAGCAGCAAATTATTACATTTGAGAAGCTGGAGAATGTTGAGTTAATGAAGGATAAATGACTGATTGATGAGGATCAATTGTCGATCTATTGTTAAGATGATGGCATTCAGTCTGAACTGATGCTCATTATCAGCTATTTTTCATGCATTACAATAACAGCAACATGGTACACAAAAGTCCATTATACTCTGCTAAAGAATAAGGAATTAGAAATTAATTTTACAGCTTACCAAAAACCCAACTGAATGAGCTCCTTGTGAGTCAATATCACTTTTATTATCTTGCAACTGAACACTGAATGAAACACAGATACAGAACCAGTTTTCCCTCCATGTTTCAGAACAATGTCAACAATCTGTAGCTGTGATTGACGCTGTAAATAAATGAATATGATGTGTGAGCACTGCCTGATGTTCAGATGTTGCTTGCTGCTGGCTGCAACTGAGAGAAAGCCATAGCTGTTTTCAGACCGCAGGTTGTAAACAAACTGTAATGCAAGAGCCAAGCTGTTAACTGTATCCTAAATTTCAAGAGGTGTTAATGAAATTAAGCAGGTGGGTGTGTTTACAGCTGTCTCGTTTCCAGAGCCAGCTGTTGTTCATTTGAGAGGCCAGAGACTTCCCCTGAAAAACGCCTCTTTCAAAACCTTTAAATCGTGCATCGTTAGAGGACTTTATGGTCCACTTCCAATGTCGAGGGGCCTCTGCTTCCATATTGCCAGCTCACTTACGTACAACTGCTGACCCGTCCTTCAGGTATGAGGATTTATATATTAGAAATAACACGAGCTAATTGCAGAACCATTCCACTGATTCACCGACTTGTACGGTCAATGCAAAGGTCAAATGAAGAGTTTTCTTTCAGTGTAAGCCATCCTTGACTTCTAATCCCACTGTGTCCTTCGGTGCCGCTCCGTTTTACCCCCTCCTCTGCTAAAGTTATGACTGTCGCAGGGACAATAGCTAGCCACACCAAGCTCATTATAACCTGAAAGAGCTCGCGCCTTTCAAATGCTGATCTGTCCCTGTCTGAGATTACTGAAAGACTTCTATCACCCCGCAGCATAAGTGGACCTTGAAATAAATCACAGCGGCGACACTGCCAGATTTTTCGGCTTCACTGATGAAAGGAAATGCATAAGACAAGGACAAATCAGTTACAGTATTACAAATATGAGTGCACTTCACATGGAGTGGCATAATTTAACTTAAGCTTTCTCTGAGAATGATCAAACAAAAATAAATCAAAGAGCTTCATTTACTGCAGATTAAGCAAATGACACACATAAATACAGCCAGACTGATACATCAGCATGTCTAATATTATCTGCTGATTTTAGTTAAGCTCCGAAATATTGTATTTTTTGTATATGTCAGCCAATGAGTAGCATTACTGAGTGAAAATCAGTTGGGCTCATGGTAGGATGACTAAACTCTGGCTATGTTTTATTGATTTATTTTAGGATCTTTAGGATGTGTTCAGCTGATTGAGTTATTGTTTTAGATATATTTTATTTATTTATTTATGTATTGGGTAGTGTCATGGTGCTGTTTCGGTTGTTTTGGGATAATATTGTTTGCATGATTGTTTTAAAAGTTGTATTCATGGTTTTATATTTGTATTCTGATTTGTGGCATATTTTGTGTTATCTGTCTTATGTTGTTTCTCTTGTAACTCAGTGTTATATTGCCGCCTATCTTCGCCAAGACACGCTTGAAAAGACTTTTGATTTCAATGAGGCTTTCCTTGCTAAATAAAATCAAACGGAACTTAAGATACAGGGAAATAGACAGCAACAGCGGTGTAGAGTTTTACACGTGCGTTTGTTCGCGTACGTCAGCTTGTGCGTGCTGATGAGCGGGTAGACATGTGTACACATATTTCGGGCAGGACAAGGGTATAAAGTTTCTCTTTGTGCAGTTTCTACTGTATATCACTACTGCAAACTTAACAGTGTTTGTCTCCAGGCAAACTGAAACATTTTAGACTCACTCTTATAACTGGTAATAGAAAGAAAAATGATGCTAAGAAGCTGACGCTGATTTGATACGAGGATGTTGAACAAGCGGGTGTATCCGGGTCTCAGCCCCGTAAAACTGACACTCATTATGTCGGGTTCATTTCTCTGACAGATCGGTAATTTATTATTATCAGATGTCAGAGTCTCGACTGCCAGTGAAGTAAATTCCTGTGATTTCATTTTCAAGCAAAAACTTATTGACTGCCATATTCCATAACAAAAACAATATCGTTTCCCCCCTTTGTGACAGCAATGATGTACTAATTGATCTTTTGCGCTGCAGGGACTCGTCAGCACACTTACAGATGAATTCAAATAAGCCGTAGTATTTGTGCTACATATCTTTGCATTTCTCCATAATGAATTCAGGACAGTCATCCAATATACTTCCAGCTGCCAAGAAGTAGTATCATTTTTAGGGTGATTTAAGGTGAACAGACAGATGTAGCCCTGCTTCTTTCATTTGAGTTCTTTTTTTTTTTTTCTAGTCATGCACAGACAAAATGTTTCATCCCTTCCTGGCTTCAACCAAAACAACCATCTGGGGATTTGTAACATGATTTTGACACAGCAAATTCTGTATCTGGTCTGAGGAAAAAACAAACACCTGAGTATGTTTGGTGTTTCCATCCAGAAGCACTGAAGGTCTTAATTTTGCATAATTACCTAACAAATGAGACGTACTTGATGTATTTTGGGTTGTTGTGTTCCAGCGAGAATAAAGGTGACAGAGCTTCTCCCATCACGGCCTGTAACATGATGTCTCCTATCTGATTATTTTTGCTGGTACAGTGTGTTTGTTTTCTGCTCCTTGTCCTACACCGTTATTATTACTCAGACTCTCTCCAGCCATCTTTTCTAAGGCATCCAAAGAAAAACACACAAAAACAAAGCATTCAGTACTTTGTTTTTGTGGTTCTGCTTCTGTAGGTTGAAGGGTGTTTTGTTGTGTGTTGTTTTCCATCAATATTTTTAATAAAGGAATCAGGTGAAACAAACACAAAGTCTGTCTCAAAGGTCATGAGTCGCACGAGTCTTTATCTCCTGCGGTACCAAAAATACATTCCTCCTGACAACTTTGGAATGGATTTTACATTAATCTTTGTCTTCCCCAACGCTACAGCCCTCTCAGCTCATTACCGGGTGTGTGAACCTTACTCTGACCACAAGGGGCGTTACCACTTTGGCTTCCACTGCCCACGCCTCTCAGACAACAAGACCTACATGTTCTGCTGCCACCACAACAACACCGCCTTCAAGTACTGCTGCAACGAGACTGAGTTTCAGATGGTCATGCAGGTCAACCTCACCAACACCTCAAACGGATATGCACACAAGTGAGTATAATATAGTATCATTTGACACTATCTGACCGCTTTACAACATGTGTCTGCCCTGTCAAGTACCAGTTTTGTCTTATTAATCCCATTTTAGTTCTTATTTCTTGGTTTAGTTTGATTTGTTTAGTTTTGGAAAATGATAGAAATTTCATTATTACCTAAATCCTTTTCTCCAGCAACACAAAGTGTAGAAAAATAGGGAATTCCCAACACAACAGGGTGCTGTTATGACTTAACTAGCAAGGATGCTACAAAATAAGTCATTACTAAGGGCGGGCGATCTTCACATCCACGATCTGATTGGCAATCTTTCTTCCCAATTTTGAATTGCACTGTCAAGAATATCCAGACTCGAACCATTGTTTTCAAAGTGGTCTGGTGCATCTGTGTTTTAAAGTGATTGTTCTGGTTATTTGACGCGGGGCTGTATGAGGTACTTATCCATAATCAGTGTATTACCTGCAGTAGATTCGGGTCAGAGCACTGCCAGTTTGGAGGCGCAGCCAGGAGCACCGGCACAGAAGCAGAACAATGTAGTGCTGTGGACAGGGACAGAGGAAAGAAACGCATTTTAGCCACCTGAACACATGCCCACCAAAAAAAAAAAAAAACAGAATCAGTTAAAGTGTATAACAGCTGATCTGCAGTGTGATAGACTGCGCGGTCTAATCCAGGCGGACAACAAATGAGACACAAAGAGAAACAACGTTAAAAAAAGACATGAAGAACATCTCTGAAAGGAACTGTTGAATTTGTTTCTAAGCATCTTATCCATTCATTGTTTTTCCCAACCAACAGTAAGAGTCTCTTCTATGTAATATGCTAATCAGAGTGGAACAAATCATATTTTGTAATGCATTGTGGATGTAATGTCGTGTTAGAAGTCTTTTCAGTTTTTTCTAACTTTCTGTGTTGGAGCTCTGGATGAAATTCAGTAGCAATCATCATAACTTTGATGAGGGTTGTCCAGTGGTAGAAAGTCACTAAGTATATTTAGTACAGTTTTGTGCTGCTTTATACTTCTACTATCCTGCCACATTCTCAGAGGAAAATATTACACTTTTAAACCACTATATTGTTTTTGCAGATTCAGATTGATAATATAAAATATGTCTACAAATGATGGATTATAATACGTCAAGATGAGAGTTCAAGTAATTAAAATTAACTTCACTTGTACCAGCTGCAACATTAAAGTGAGTCACACATAAGACGCATTGATAATATAATTCCCATAATATGTGATTTCTGAAAAGGGCCACACTGCCTGACTACTTAGCTTTTGCTTGACTTTAAGTATATTTTGACGCTAATACATTTGTGGTTTAATTTTTGAATTCATGAGTTGTAGTTGTAAAAAATGTCTTAGTACTCCTTCCACCACTGTTTTTGATTCAGTGTTGCTTTCTTATTCTAGCGTATTCAGTCAGCCACTCAGTCACTGTGTTGTCCTTGGCCAATTTGGAAATACACAAACGTCTTGTGGATGTTAGCATTAGACATGGTCCTCATTGGTGGCACATTGCTAAGTTACTCATTGTCAAATCGCCGACACAATAAATACAAGTGGCCGAAAACAAAAGCCCCAGGGCTGAAAAATGAAGCCAAACATGGGAATGCAGTTCCCTCGAAATGGTCACTTGTGACTGGCTTCAAAGCGAGTCAATCCCCATAGACTCCCACGTTAAAAATGCCCAACTTTGGCACACAGTTGGCAAGCCAGTCGAACAGTGCTAATGGAGGCGTATGCCTTGCCACCGTTATTAAACTGCATGCACTGAAGTCTTGGCTCCACACACACCCCACCTCTTTGCCCATGTTTGGATTAGCTGGGAGTTGGGGTAACGTCAACAGGCCATGTCTGTCTTTATATACATTCTAGGGAAAAATAGGGTTTTTTTTCTGACAGCCATGACATCTCCTGTTTGATGAAAAGAACTATAACAAACCTTGAAAATAGCGCGACCGTTGCTGGTAGTTACAGCTACATAATTAATATTATCAATTCAGCTACTTAAAAAGGAGCTACATTGTACTGTAGTCTTCTTTCACTTGTTAGCAAACTGTCACAAATATGTAACACAAAACAGATTAATTTAGGCGTTAGTTTCCTTTTATTTGGCGTGACTAGGCTAGCAATGGGGGAAAAACCAATTGTACAAAGGCTTACACATAAGATGTTTTTGTGCTCTTATAATCATTTTTCATAATAATGATTAAAAGCATATCTTTTGGTTAAATTGCATTTTATGTGTAGCTGTACAGCTGCACAGTAGACATGCATACCAAGCTGCAGGTTGTCAGTCGTCACGTGACAGACAGTGACTCACCATGCGGTGGATGTGTTTGTAGGGCAGGAGCGTGGGGCTGTGGCTCTCCCCTCGGAGGCTGTGTCGGGGGCTGGTAGTGGCTGGGGACATGGGCTGGGCTTGAGCTTGGGCCTCACTCTCCTCTGGCATGGACCTGTGCCACTGACTCCGAGCCTTCTTCAGCCAGCGTCCTCCCAGACCCCATTTCTCCAGGTAGCCCGGGCACAGCTCATGTTTAGTTATGGCTGATAGTAGAGAAAGTCGAGCGCCAGCAGCACCCATGACAAAGAAGCCGTAGATCCACACGCCGACCAGGGCTGTATAATTACTGCAGGGGACAGACGGAGAGTATTAGCACAGTGTAATCTGAGAAAGACAATGATAAAACACTCCTCACATGCTGCCAAGCTACCATCCAGATACCCTTAAGCTAGTCTATAAATTCCCAATAGCTTGATGGAGCTGCCAGGTGTGTGTGTGTTTGCCCTCATGTGGCAAGACTGTGAGACTTTCATCAAATCCTCCCTTGATAAATAACCATAAATATATTAAACAAACCTCCATCTGTTCCATTTGCTGCTTTTTTAATACTTTCTTTTAATTGTTGGAATCAAAGAAATTTCATTAGCACAAGAGACTTTTTTAATCCATCTCATTTTGGCTTCTTGGTATTTCCTCTGAAAATCTGTGTTACTTGTTTTCATCTTTCATACATTTTCTCCATGAATTACATGATCCAGCTGGATTTATGTGGGGCACATTTTACTTCCTCTTGTGCCGCCCACATCCATAAGTACAACAAGGTAGATGAGCAGGAATAGCATTAGAAAATAGCTTCCTGAGAAGTTTTGAGAAGCAGCATTCGCACAAAACAGGGCTACTAAATATTTCTGGTTGTGACATTTTCTGTTTATATGGTGCTGAGAACATTTATGTTGGAAAATATCACAGAAAATTGGAAGTGATTCAGTCCTATCTGGATGCTATTCAGAAAGAAAAAATATTGTTTTGAACTCTGAGAGACAGTGATGACACTCAGAATATTGCTTCAAAATCGATTTAATTCTGGAGGGGAACGCATCTTTTATTGCATTTCGGTACACTTTTGCAATTTTGACAGGATTAATTAAAGCCGTTTACAAAAAAAATATGTCCAAGTGCTCCTGGTTCCGTAAATCAAGTGAATCCATTTCGGTCTGAAAATGATGTGGTCTTGAGGATATTTATCTGACCTTAAAGCTGAGCTGCTTGAATGAGCTCTGAGGCAGGTGAATATTAATACTTCAGTGTAGCCAGGTAGATAATATCCCTGGTTTCCACCTTATGTAAATCTCTCACTTTGTGTCTTCCAATGCATGTGAGGCATTTAGGGGACAACTGTTAAATTGTAGCTACAGAAAATAACCTGTGTTACACCCCCCCTCTAAACTGAGTTTCTCCATGCACATCGGTCACACACCGTACCACCCATCACTTCAAAATCCTCAACGTGTGAGAAACACTGCACTGTACTCAAATTTAAAATTATCCTCAACTGCATTTAGCTTTCCTCACGTCTGCATCAGAGACATTCCTATAGTTTTAGTTTTTTCTATTAAGGTGATTTGAGGGGGCAACGGGCTTTTCCGTGTACCTGGGTCAACCAGAGGGTAAAGCAAGCAATATGTGCACAGTCCTTGGAGGGATCGATCATGACCACACAACTAAAAACAAATGTCATTCAATATTTTAACACAGCTTTCTCAGTAGAAAGGGAAGCTGATGCAATTGATTATCTGTCAAAGGTTTTTTAGCTTTTACATGTTTATTTAACCAATTCAGTCTCGGCTGACTCTTCCTCTCTGAATCTATTTCGATTCTGCACCATTTCATCTACTTTGTAACTATGAAGAGAGGTATATGCTAACAAAGCATTGACCTGTGAAATCCACACAGGCCGATCATCTTTGGTTTTACTTTGAACTGCAGTAACCCTCGAACTATAACCATTTCCGCCATGCACTGTGAGTGTAGGGAGCAGAATAATGGCCAGTTTAACTCGCTTGGCCAGTGGTAAATATCAAACCCGCAGTCCTATCTTCCATTGAGCCAGGATGAAAGAGTGGCCCAACAGTCCATCTGACACTAAAATGAAATATCATGACCAGCTGCAGGGCAGTGTGAACCATCCCAGACAGAGGCATGCTGGGAGGGCATTAGCAAAGAGAGCTGTGGTTTTGTCACCCAAACCTCCCAATGAGAGCTCCCACAGAACAAGAAGCTCATTCTTCTGTGCCCTTCACTCGGCTTAAACCTGCTCATACTGTGTCCTCTGTTACAATATGTTGACGATTCTTGCCACATGTAGTATATTTAGTATCAATAATACTGGACAAGTGTACTATCATTTATCGTATGAACTTCTGTGATACAGTCATGGTAGATGAAAAAATAGTCAACACTTAATACCTGCCTTGGTCAGCTCTCATGTGGAGCCGTCCCACTCACAACACAACAAATGCTTTCAGCATCTGCTTCTCTCTGTGGTGGTTTTGTGGGTGTAGATCAATTGTCAACGTAGCCTCTGAGCAAGAGGCAAGTGGTGTCAATAAGTACGATACTGTCGAGGGAGTGAACCATTTGTGGTCAGCAGAATATAACTGGCTGTTTTCATCTGATCTGAGGAAATGTCCCTTCTCGGAAACTGCT